GAGAATTTGAGAATAATAATAGCAATAGCAGCAATAATAGCACTGTAGCACTGTCCTCCCGTTGTTCATGGATTTGCTCGAGCGGGCACCAGTAACGTCTCCATTGTGAGATTTGTTGTTACTGTGTTTGGCATATCGAATACGCCATGAGTAGCTTGCCAGGCTTTGCCGTGCAGGCAGAACACTCTTGGTAGCTTGCAGGGCTGTTCGAGACGGGCGGAAGAATCGAGCCCAGGTCGGCCACGTGCAAGGCAAATGCCCTACCCGCTATGCTATCGCTCCGGTCCAGTAATAATAATAGCAGTAATAATAGTAACGATAGTAAAGAAGAAATGATAATGCTAAAACACAGAATGACCAACAGGTAAGAGACATGAAAAAAAAAAAAGACATGAAAAGGCTGGCAGGGCTCAGAGGCATAATGTGGGGGCTTAGAGCACCTGCCTTGGAAGCACAAGTTAAAACAGTCCCAAGTCAAAATCCTTGATGTTGATGTCCTCGGTTCAATGCCAGGCACTGCATTGTACCAGTATCTCTGGGTGTGGTCCCGCTCACTGCTGGGCACTGATTGGTGCGGCCCCACAATTACAAAAGAGAGGGCCAGAGAGAGAGAGTACAGCAGGTAGGGCATAGCTTTGCACACGGCTGGTACTGCATATGGTCAGGTGTGCTCCATGAGCACAGTGCCAGGAGTAAGCGCTGAGCACTACTAGGGATGGTCCAAAAAAACAAAGGCTATAGCGATAGCACAGGGGGTAGGGCGTTTGCCTTGCATGCAGCCAACTCGGGTTCGGTTCCCAGCATCCCATATGGTCCCCTGAGCACCGCCAGGGGTAATTCCTGAGTGCAGAGCCAGGAGGAACCCCTGTGCATCGCCAGGTGTGACCCAAAAAGCCAAAAAATAAAAAACCAAAGCCCAAACAATGCCAGAGATAGTTCATTTAAAGCAGGCTCTGTGTGTGGAGCCCGGCCTAAAATGGTCCCCAATAATTGCCAGGAGCTATGCCGAGCACAGAGCTGAGAGTGCCCCCTCAAACCAACCTAAAAACCTCTTATTTATTTATTTATGCATTGAGTCACTGTGAGATGCACAGTTGCAAAGCTGTTCATGATTGGGTTTCAGTCATTCAATGATCCAACACCCATTTCTCCCCCAGTCTACATTTCCCACCACCAATGACCTCAGTTTCCCTCCTGCCACTGCCTCCCTCCAGTCTATGGCTCTAGGGCAGGCACTTCTTCTCTCTCTCTCTCTCTCTCTCTCTCTCTCTCTCTCTCTCTCCCTCTTTCTCTTTCCTTTTGGGCATTATAATTTGCAATATAGATACTGAGAGGTTATCATCCAACCAAAATTTTAAAAAAGCCGATTCTCATTTTAAAAAAAGGGCGGGGGGAGAGGGGCTGGAGTGATTAGCACACTGGATTAGCACAGTGATTAGCACATTGGAAGGGCGTTTGCCTTCCAAGCGGCCAACCCGGGTTCAATTCCCAGCATCCCATATGGTCCCCTGAGCACCGCCAGGAGGAATTCCTGAGTGGCCGAGCCAGGAGTAACACCTGTGCATCACCCGGTGTGACCCAAAAAGCAAATAAATAAATAAATAAAAAATAAAGGGAGACCTTGTGTGTGTGTGTGTGTGTGTGTGTGTGTGTGTGTGTGTGTGAGAGAGAGAGAGAGAGAGAGAGAGAGAGAGAGAGAGAGAGAGAGAAGAAAAGAGAAGCAAACATGCAGTTTTCCTGGAATTTCCAGTATTGTGGCACAGCCATTTTTCTTCCAAAAGCTTCTTTTCCGGACTTAAAAATGACTAGAGGGGCTGGAGCGATAGTGCAGCGGGTAGGGCGTTTGCCTTGCACGCGGCCGACCCAGGTTCAATTCCAGCATCCCATATGGTCTCCTGAGCACCGCCAGGAGTAACTCCTGAGTGCAGAGCCAGGAGTAAACCCTTGCATTGCCAGGTGTGACCCCCCCCCAAAAAAAATAAATGACGAGAGCAGGCACAGGGGCCGGAACAATAGTACATCGGGTAGGGGTTTGCCTTATACAAGCCCACCCCAGTTCAATCCCTGATATCCCATATGGTTCCCTGAGCACTGCCAGGGTAGTTCCTGCGTGCAGAGCCAGGGGTAACTTCTGAGTATTGCCAGGTGTGACAACTCCCCTTACCCTCCCCCCCCTCAAAAAAATTGACTAGAGCATTAACCAGGAGAGCATAGGTTGGAGCACTTCAAAAATACAGTGTGCTGGGAAGCCACTATTAATAGCATTGGAAATCACAAAACCTCCATTAATAAACAAGTTTTTAAAAAAGGAGTTTAGGGGCTGGAGCAATAGCACAGTGGGTAGGGCATTTGCCTTGTACGCGGTTGACTTGGGTTCGAATCCCAGCATCCCATATGGTCTCCTGAGCACCACCAAGAGTACTACCTGAGTGCAGAGGCAGGAGTAACCCCTGAGCATCGTCGGGTGCGACCCAAAAAGAAAAAAAAAATTTAAAAAAAGGAGTTTAGGGGAAGGAATTTGAACAGGGGTTAAGGAACTTGCCTTCTGTGTGGACTGGTTCAATTCTTGGCACACACTGGTGTGGCCCCAATGCAACTCCCCACCCCAAAGAATTTCCCTCATGAGAAGACAGTAAAGCAAAGCAAAACAAAAACATGTTTTTGTATTTTGTGTGTGTGTTGAATAAAATGTAATGGGGCGGGAGGAACACACGTAGTTGGGGTTCTAAAGATGTGGGATCTCTTGGTGACTTTTTTTGCTTTTGGGGGTCACACCTGGTGATGCACAGGGGTTACTCCTGGCTCTGCACTCAGGAGTTACTCCTGGTGGTGCTCAGGGGACCATATGGGATGCTGGGAATCGAACCCCGGTCGTCCGCGTGCAAGGCAAATGCCCTACCCGCTGTGCTATCTCTCCAGCCCTCTTGGTGACTTTTGGTGTGAACTTGGACAAGTCTTGTAGTATTTATTTATTTATTGCCTTTTTGGGTCATACCCAGCGATGCTCAGGGGTTACTCTGGCTCTGTACTCAGGAATTACTACTGGCTGTGCTTGGGGGACCCTATGGGATGCTGGGGATCGAACCTGGATTGGCCGCGTCGCAAGGCAAACGTCCTACCCACTGTATTTTTCACTCTGGCCCCAAGACTTATCACGACGATCACGACCATCCTGTTGTTCATGGATTGCCTCAAGCAGGCCTCAGTAACGTCTCCTTCGTCCTAGCCCTGAGATTTTTTTTTTTAAAGTGCAATATTCAAGGCTCTTTCAGGGTTAGGAGAATGAGACCCATCATTGTTACTGGTATTTGTCATATTGGGTATACCACGGGGAGTTTGCCAGACTCTGCCGTGTGGGCAGGTTACATTCGGTAGCCTGACAGTTTGTCCAAAGCAGGAGCTGAGTGTGATAATCTCTGGATCCTGGCCGTTGTTGGGGTTACACGGCAGTTGGTGGGTGTAACTGTCTAGCTACTGGCAGGTCCAGTCCCAAACCGTGCAGGCTTGGAGATCTCAGCCCCGGGTCCCACACACCTGGGTTCCTCTGCCAGTTCTTTTATGCGTGAGGCTCATCCAAGTGTGTGGAGAGTGGTCCCAGCATGGCCTTGGCTGGGGCCCGGAAGTCTTCAGCTGTTGGGCCCTGGTGGAGACAGTCTCCTACCCTGTGCCCAAGACTTATAGTATTTAAAAAATTTTTTTTGGGGGGGGGGACACCCAGCAGTGCTCGGGCTTACTGACCCTAGACTCAGGGATCACTCCTAGCCTGAGGGTGGGGTGGGGTGGGGCTAGGGGGTGGGGGAGCGCTCAGGGACCCACATGGGATGCTATTCGCTGTATTATTGCTGCTCTGGCCCAAGTTGTTTTCCCCTTTTAATACTTTTGTTTTCCTACCCAAGTAAGCACTCCTTTAGGTGGTTAGGACCCTATGTTAAGGAGGTCTGAAACCTGTAATCTGCTACAAGTGGGTTGTCTAGCTTCCGGTGAATGGAGACGCCAATGAACAGACAAGTTTTCTTATCTATAAATCTAGGGGTGGACCAAATGATTTCCCACATGAACCTTTAAATATCTATTTTTTTTGGGGGGGGAGGTGCTGGAGCAATAATACAGTGCCTAGGGCCTTTGCCTTGCATGCGGCTGACCTGGGTTCGATTCCCAGCATCCCATATGGTCTCCAGAGCACTGCCAGGAGTAACCCCTGAGCATCGCCGGGTGTGGCCCCAAAAGCCAACTCCTCCTGAACCTTTTTTTTTAAGGGATGAGTAGGGGAAGGCATCCCAGGTGGCTCTGGGGGACCACGAAGTGCCAGCGACCAAACTCGGGGTTCCTGCATGCAAAGCTCCATGCTTGGCGCTATCTCCCCGCCTCAGGGTGTTTGCACCTCGGAGTGCCCTAGGATTAGGCAGTAACCGGTGATACCCCCCAGCGAGACTCCAGGGTGGGCCAACCTCATCGCCACCCTGCAAGCAATGGAGACTTCCTGGGACTGTGTCCTATGGCCATCGGTGACCTCCAAGTTCTCCAGTACGCCAGTTCCAGCTCCGGGGAAAGGGACGCTTCACTTTCTCGGGCCTCGGCCTTTTGGTGGGGGGGGGTGGGGGTCAAGGTCCGGCCTGTCACCACACCCTGCGTCAGGGTGTGAAAACACCGCGGTCTCGCTCATCCTTTGACAAGCGCCATTCTCCAGGTGCGTCTCGACCCCCCGCCTCCCGCCGCCCGTCCCCCACTTTCCCAGCCCTGGCGGAGAGCCCGGAGACCGCCGAGCGGTGCAGAGAGGACGAGGATGGTCGCGGTGCCTTACCCTGCGCTGCCGGGCGGCGCAGGCCGAGCCCGGGACCCGGCGGGCGGGCGGGCGGCGCCCCGTGTTAGTTACCTGGCGCGGGGCGGGGCGGGGGCGGGGCCGGCGGCCCGTCCTTGGCTCCGATTGGTCGGCGCCGCGCCTGTCTCCATGTGCCGTGCGGCGGGGGCACAACATTCAAGCCTGGGGGCGGGGCCGGGCGCGCCGGGAGGAAGCGCCCGCGCGGCACTTGCGGGCCGTGGGGGCGGTGGCGGTGGTGGCCCGGGCCGAGGCCGAGGCGGCGGAGGTGTCCCGGGCGGATCGGGTCCATCGGGTCCATCGGGTCGGCCCTCCCCGGCCCCATGGAGGCCGCGGCGGGCGGGGGCTGCGGCGCGGGGCTGCTGCTGAGTGAGGGCGAGCAGCAGTGCTACTCCGAGCTCTTCGCGCGCTGCGCCGGCGCCGCAGTCGGGGGGCCCCCAGAGGCAGCCAGGGCCGCCCTCGGCGGGGCCACTGCAGCCACCGGCCCGGTGGCCGATCTGTTCCGGGCATCGCAGCTGCCCGCCGAGACGCTGCACCAGGTAGGTCCCCGCGTGCCCCGCCCTGGCGGGTTTGTGGGGACCAGGTGTCGGGGGGACACGGTGGGTGGAGGGAGGGGGTGTCGGCAGCGCCGCCCCCTCGGGGGACCCGGAGACCTTGGCTAGGTCGCCGTGAAGGAGACTCGCCGCTGGAGACAGGCGGCAACGCCCTTGTCCCCGGCGCCCCGGGGGACAGGCGCGTCCGCAGCTCTGCTCCGTGGGTGCGCTTAGCCCGGCGTCCTTCCCTGGAGCGGGTCCCATTCGCCGTCCCCTCCCGCGCCCGTTTCTGGCGCTCTGCCGCCTTCTAGACCCAAAGTTTGCCCTGTTGTGGAAGTGGTGTTTGTTTGGGGGCCGGAGTCGGCTGGAACCTTTGCTGGCGGCTCCTGCACCCCCCCCCCCACTCCCGGGTGGGCGCTCCAGGTGCCTCGCCGAGAGCTGAACTCGAACTGTAGGGGAGCACGCGTGTGCGCCCGACGGGCGGGGGACAGGGGACGGGGGACGGGGGAGGGGGGAGGGGGCTCCACGCTGCTCACTCCAGGGGCTGGAAACCTGCGACTTATTTATTCCGTCTGTCTGGGGGGGGGGGGGTGTGCAGATATGCCCACTGAACGTTCCGAATAGTAGGATTAAACTGGAAAAGCGTAATGACAAGTGGCAGAACAGGAATCCAAGGCTGCAGGGGGATGTCTGTTAGGGCTCATGCCACGCTTTCCGGTTTGGGACGAGAGATGAGGCCAGATGCCCTGGCGGGGGTGGGGTGGGGGGTGGGGGGGGGACTCTCCTTGCGCCCCATCCGATCGGTGGTGGAACTTGAAATAGAATGGGAAAGTGACGGAAGCCCCCTCGTTGGAGCTGCTGCTTCCTTGAGAAGCGCCGAAGATGAGCCTCAGCAGATGCTGTTTTTGTGTTGAGCTTTGCTTGGATCTTGGACAAAGACTTAAGTGATGGACACTTTGTCCTTTATTGCTCCCAGTACTTCCCCGGGGAGAAGAGCGTCAATATCAGGTCCCAAATATGAAATGAAGCTTTTCTTAAAAGCCATGGCCACTCGGAAAAATCATCACCGATAGAATATGTAGGGTGATCATGTTATTTCTGTGGGTTCCACTCCCCGTGGCGCTAGGGGCCAGGCCGCTTTGGGTACCACTGAACCCTGCTGCGGCCTGTGATGTGAGCTGACGGTTAAACACGCGGCCGTGCAGTGCCTGTGGCCAACCAAGGTCACCCCCTCTGGGATTGGGAGCCACACTGAGTGGGTCTCTGGAGAAGTTCAATGTTTCTGGGCATTGGACTCAAAGCCTGGGGCATGTTAGGCAGCAATCTCCTAAACCCCACCGTGGTATTGTTTGGAGAGGGGGAGGGGCTCTTGTTTTTTTTTTTTTTCCCAGAATCCGCTATTGGTTCTGCACTTAGGAGTGACCCATGGCAGTGCTAGCACACCAGATGTGGTGCTGGGGGTTGAACTGGGTTAGCAGGATGCAAGGCAAGCACTCTGCTTCCTGTACTTTATCTCCCCCACACTCTCTTCTTATTTTGGTTTGGGGTTTACTCCTGGTTCTGCATTCACTCCCCGCGGGATTTGGGGGTCCATCTGTGGTACCGGGATTTAAGCCTGGGTCAGCGTTGGGCAAGGCAGGCGCTGTGCCTACTGTATCATTTGTCTAGCCCCTCTCCACAGTGGGGTTTTTCAAAGCTGCCGTTGCAGCGGGAGGACTGAGGGTTTTGTGGTTTTCTTGCCGGAGGGATTTCTTCATCACTTCTCACTGAGCATGCACTAATTTAGCTGCTCAGTAATCTTTTCGAATTTGCGATTTCCGGAAAATGTGATTAGCAGTCCCAGACCTTCCCCTGGCTTTTGCCCCGAAGTCCTGGATGTTGGCAGAAGCTCTCGAGCAGGTGAGCGACACCAGGCAGAGGGAGGAAACGTGTCTGAAAACACACCAAGCCCTACCAGCATCATGTGTTGGATGCTCTTGCTCCTTTAGGGCTCTTGCATTGTGTCCCTGTCAGCTGGACACCGGCTGGGGCTCATTTCCTGGTCAGCTGAATGGGGGCTTCAGTAAGGGAAGGCGGGCACATTCATATATTGGCTATGGCTTTTGTTTGTTTGGGGCCGCACCCTCCTGGCTCCCTGTTCAGGCAGCACTCCTGGCAGGCAACCATCTGCAGCGCTGGGGATTGAACTTGGGTCGGCCGCGTGCAAGGCAAGTGCCCGACCCGCTCTGTACTCTGTCGGCTGTGTTGACTGTCTCTCAAGGAACTGGGGAGTGTGCTTTGCTGGGAACCCATGTTCCTTCAAGGCATATATGACTCAAAAATCCCAAGGCACAGAGCCTGTGCCTGAATGCTGTGTCGTCATAAACGATTCCTTTTTTTTTTCTTTTTGGGTCACACCCGGCGATGCACAGGGGTTCCTCCTAGCTCTGCACTCAGGAATCACTCCTGGTAGTGCTTGGGGGACCATATGGGATGCTGGGAATCGAACCCGGGTTGGCTGCGTGCAAGGCAAATGCCCTACCCGCTGTGCTATCACTCCAGCCCCGTCATAAACGATTCTTGATGTCTAGTTGAAGCCTGCTTACAAAAGACTGCTTTAGAACCTGGCCAAAGGGGACACCCCGAGAAGTTTGCTTGCAGTAAATTTCAATCCCTCCGGGTGCTGAGCCTCCCTCATTCCACCTCATACCCTTCCCTTTTCATCGGACAAAATTGCGATTATGCAGGTTTCTTTGCACAGGTGAAAATGAACATCAGAGGCCCCTGGACAGGGCAGAGAGTCAGACAGACGGTGGCTGACAGCTGCCTCGTTTCCATGAACCCCTTGGGTGGCGTCTGACTGCGGTTGTGTGCGCACACTGCCCTCGGTTGGCACTGCCCATGAGGCTAGGCATTCTTGCAAGCAAGGGTGGACTTCTGAGTCTTTCCTTGTTAAACAGGAACCTGTAAGTTCAGAAGTAAGTGGTCCAACAGGTATAGCTGCTCAAATCACGGAGGCACATGGCAGCTGGTAGTTTCTATGGTAACATCCGGGTTTTCTTCTTAATAAACATATGATTAAGATTACCCTCCTGTTCTGGGAAGGAGAGGGAAATCTCACCTGGAGTCAGCGTTCTAGAAAATTATTTAATTTGGTCTCATCCTTACGGTGAAAATAAAGCAGCGCACCTGTAACTTTATTGTGGAGTGAATTATCGTTAGGGATTTTTATTTGTTTGTTTATTTTTAATTTTTAATTTTTATTAGTGAGACACCATGAGGTACAGTTGCAGATTTACAACTTTTTGTGCTTGGGTTTCAATTACACAACGATCAAATACCCATCCTTCCACCAGTGCCCATTTCCCACCACCACGGATCCCAGTATCCCTCCCACCCCCCATTCCCCCCATCCCACCCAGCCTCTGTGGCAGAGCATTCCCTTTTGTTCTCTCTCTCCTTTTGGGTCCTGTGGTTTGCAAGAGAGGCATTGAGTGGCAATCCTGTTTGGTCTATAGTCTACTTTCAGCATGCTTCTCCCATCCTGGGAGGATCCTCCCAACACCCTTTATTTGGTGCTCCCTTCTCGATCTGAGCTCCCTTTTCCTCGTTAGGGATTTTTAGAGTTGAGAAAAAATTTAATATACTTTTTTTTTTTTCAGAGCGTATTTAGGTTTGCAGTAAGGGATGGGTCCCAAGTGGTGATGTCAAGCCCTCCCCCTTAGGACTGACAGGTGTGACACCTAGCACTGCTGGGCCCTAGCAGAACTGTACTGCTGGCCATGTAACTCCTGACACACACACACACACACAGAGCCTGACCCACGTCAGCATTTCCCACCAGTGTTCAGAAAGTGGTGAACCGGTATTGTCATATCACAGTCACACAGTCACCAAAATTTCGCACTTGATCTGGGGTTTGCTGTTGTTGTTGCACGTCCTGTGGGCATCAGCAACACGCACCCACCATTGCGGTGTCGTAGAGTGTTGGCCCTAAAATCTGTGCACCCCTCATCCTCTCCAGGGTTTGCCTTTTTGTCCGAGTGCTGTAGAGTTGAAATCATCTAGTATGCAACCTTTCCAGAGCGGCTCCTTTCACTTAGCAATCCGCACTTAAGATTTCTCTAAGGCTTTTTTCATAGCTTTCTGGCTCATTTCTTTATAATGCTGAATACCACAAAATTGTCGGGATTCATCAACTGGAGGAATTCTTGATTGCCTTCAGGTTTGAGCAGTTCTGGATCAAGTTGCTCTGAACAGCTGTGTGCACCTCAGTTGTTCCTGTGTGTGTGTAGGTGTGTGTTCAGGGTGGCAGGAGCTGGGGGCAGGGTCTCATAAAAGCAGGGCTCAAATTCCCACCTTCACGGCACCGGAGATCTTTAGCTCAGGTCAGAGAATGTTTAGGTCAGGGGTCAGGGAGATAATACAGCATTAGGACCATACCTTGCATGTGCGTGATCCAGATTTGATGTCCAACACCACATGACCTTCCAGGCATTTCTGGTGCTCCCAGTACTGTTGGGGTGACCATGGTGGTACCTGGCAACTTAGGTCCTTAGAAGCACTGAATCTTTTTTTTTTTTTGCTTTTTTTTCTGGGTCACACCCGGCGATGCTCAGGAGTTACTCCTGGCTCTGCACTCAGGAATCACTCTTGGCGATGCTCGGGGGACCAAATGGGATGCTGGGAATTGAACCCGGTCGACTGCGTGCAAGGCAAACGCCCTACCCGCTGTGCTATTGCTCCAGCCCCTGAATTACTGAATCTTTGGGCTCTAGCACTGAACCACTGGCCTGATGGGCTGAGTATCTCCAGAAGTGGGCTCAGGGCCCCTCGAATACAGCTTGGGAGGCTCCCCCAAATGATGTTTTGTTTAAGTAAGAAACTGCTAAACCGTCTGCTGAAGTGGCTGTACCTTTTTTTTTAATTCCCCCAGTAATGGATGAGGATTCTTGTTGCTCTATATTCTCACTGTCACTGTCACTGTCCTCCAGTTGTTCATCGATTTGCTCGAGCGGGCCCAGTAA